GCATACGGCCACTATTGAGATTGTTACTTCAGTCTCATTCGCATGGAATCATAAAAAATATATGAACTTATATTCAAAACAAATGATCAGTGGTTCGATAAATGAATCAATATAAGTCAACGATCAAGAGAATATCAGTTCATTTAAGAAACAAATATATGAAATCAGAAGAAGGGGCGCACTCACCAAAATCCAAGAACTGCTTCATTGACAGAGGAGAAGGGGAGAACTTGGAGAAGTGGTCTATGTGTTTGGGCACGCTGGCCAGTGCTGCAGCCTTCATCAGAAAGCGAACACACTTTATCTTGCTCGTCATCCTCAGAAATTACCGGATGAAAGTACAGCACGCGAAAACAGGATGAAAATTAAAAATAATAAAGAACTTTTTTTCTAGAAGAGTTAACCAACAGTTAATAACGGTTCCTCAGTCGAGACATAAAGTCTGCAGCTCTGCACTGCACACTCTCACTTAATAGAAGATCTGGGCCAATGGGAGATCGAGGTGGGCGGCAGCTGGTTTCTAGGAATCCTATCTACTCTTACTCTAGGAAGATAGTAAATAGGCAGGCGTATGTGTGTGACCGGATCGCTTTACATAATGCTTCCTCAGTATGGTAAACAAGGGTGACGTATGCTGTGCAGACTGTAAGGCCCTTTAAGGGAAATGTGTGATTTGTTATGTTGGGCTGTACAGATACAGTGCGTCTTATGTAACAGTATCACGGTGCCTTCGGTAAATACAGTTGTTGCTGCTGAAGCACAACATCAGTGCAGTTCACACAGAAGTTATCAGAACAGAGTTACAAAGAGTGTTAACGGAATAATAAGAAATACACAAAAGAAAACATCCACTTTTAACACACGTTGAGTTGTTATCTCTTGTATTGCCCTACATTTACAATGGTGTCAGAGAGCTGAGCATCTGATAGGCCTATTCCTACAAATAAACAGGATAAGTGGTTTAATAACGCTTGCTTGGAACACATTTCCCGAATATTCAATCTGTAACAATTTCCATAAAAACGTGTCTGTTTTATGGACAGGTAGTCAGAAATAACAGATGGTATCTGCAGTACTTGTTCTAATACACAAGTAAAATATTAACATGTTGTATGAAAACATACAATCCTGAGAAGCAACGCCACTAGTGTAAATGCTAAACGTTTCAACTTTGGTTCCCATTGTACAGAACCAGCAAAGAGCTACGTGTCATTTCCTCTGTCGGGACACTGCTGCCTCCCTCACGAAGATAAATGAATAAAAGGATAATCCTTTTTTGTTTTGACAAAATTGGTTTCACACTATAACAATGTATGATGATATTTATTATTATGATGTAGGCTATCTCCTGTTTTTGCTAGATAACACTTTATTTTGCTTGTTACAAAAAATCAAGTTAAGGTTTACTTGTATAACATGGGATGTTATACAATTAAACTATAAACAAGTTTTAACTTTTACTCAGCATGTTTTTTGAAGTAAAACAGCTTATTTATGCAGCTAACCCATCTTCTTCATGTAGCTTTGTTGCTCAGTAGGTCACACTGTGCCTCATAATGAGAGAACAGGTACATAGCAGGAAAACATACCTACAGAATAGACGTTTTTCACACTGCTACCCCTTTATTCTCCTAAATCACATCTTGTTCCTTTGTACCTACATGCATATACTTACATCAGTATGTACCATACTGGCACATTGGTACTGCTACAAATAATTACACCAGAAAGTGGGAAGAAATATGCTTTATGTTGCATTTACTAAACCTCAGATGGCCCCATGTTTATCTCACTGCATAGGTACCTTCAGTACAAATATTGAAACCAGCTGTAAACAGCACTTGCTTATGTTCTCTGCCTCTGTTTCTCTCAGATGTGCGTGACAGACAGAAGCAGCTGTCTGCTGCGTACACCCCTGGTATGTGTTTTCATAAAGAGGAATGTTTTCCATAAGCCAGGACTACGCTGTGTATCTGGACATACTCTGGCTGTCACTGGCATTTGCTTTCTAAGTCAATCTAACTCATTTCTCGGTGTATTGTTTATGTTAAAACATGACAAATATAGATTTCTTTCTTTCTAAAATAGGTTCACTATTATCTTTATCATTAGTAAGACAAAAACAAACATCAGCTGTGGCGAGACTGAAGAGTTCTATTATACTGTGACCTATACTGTATGAAGATGTTTTTGTGGTTTTGGAAAACTAGAAACCTTTCACCTTTCACCAACACTGTACGACCTCTTGTTATTGTAGAGAACCACCCATGGCCCCCTCAGCGTCACCTAATATAGATTGTTTACAGTCTCAAGTTCACATCGTTTAAGAGGGTGAGAACAGTGGGATGCGTCATGCGTTAGCTCACTGCCAGGCATACGTACACAGATGCAACTCCTTATGCTGGCATATCATTTAACAGCCCACTGCAGCAAACCTCTTAACAGGACTCTGTTGAATTTCTTAAACACCTGTGACATTTGTCTCTAAATCCATGGATACACTGCAAACAGGAAATGCTAGCAGCTAATTCAACATGCTAAGGGGCTGAAATGTAAACAAATATAAAATTACAGACTGTACAATTTTTCGGTAGACACCAGCATGAATACTGGTGTTATATCACTTTTTCAGAAGTAGAAAACATTATATTTCATTATGCTAATAGTGCTCTGGAACTTCCAGCAGTGTTCTGTCAGGTCTTTTATTGGTAGTAGTGATCAATGCTAGTGGTAACAGGTTGCATATAGGGCTGGTGCATACTAGCTTTTAAATTTAAGACAAATCTTTTGGCAGCTTGTGCCATGGGTTTCTACCTGTGTTCACATGTAGTATATCCTGTAAAACTGCTAATTGTGACAGCTCGAGCAGAATATGTTGAACCAAATTCTGATTAGGAAAGGCGAATGGAATCAAAACATCATCTTCAGGCAGATAAATGTCCAAAGACAAAAACTGTCCATAATGCTCCCAACTGAAGCTTATTATCTAGCTGTAAACAAATGTGAGGTGAAAATATTTCTGTGGTGTGTCAGTAAGCCAGAACAACACTGAGCACTAATCATGACCTTAGGCATAAACATAGACAAAGAAGCTAATCCAGGACTGACACGATGACCTAAATGGTATGGCATTCACTACTAGGTGAGAGAGAAACAGTATTTCAATTTTCTGTATGTCTTGCACATATAGTGAATTGACAATCAAAATCTTTAATCTCTCTTTGATCTTTGATGATAGACATTAACCGCTAGTAGAGGCAGTTCACTGTCAGTTTTAGTCTCTGTCTGTGGAGTGCTGAAAATACTATATAGATTGGCCTTGTCCTTTAAGAGAAAACACAACCCTACAGGGGACACACCGACACAATTTAACCCTTGCCATAGACCTCTGTGGCTAACTAGTGGTCCCCATCCATCTTCGGCCTTTCCTGGATTCCACCTTTGTACCAAATCATGATTGCACTCACCTGTTGACATCACCTGTTTCAACTGGAATCATAATTTCATTGTTTTACCTCATTACTGGCCCTGAAATGCAACAGCCCCAACGTTTTTGGGACTTTGTTGCAGGCATCAGAAATGAACTGAGTGTTTATTTTGAACTAAGAATGAAATTCTGGCAATGTGCTGCTGTATTGTTTTCAGTGTAATACAGGACACAGATGAGTTACACATCACTATTTTCAGTTTTAATTTGGATTTTGCATACCATCAGGATGATGTAGACTGGCTTTGTAAAGGCAAGTGCGGGTGTATAAAGGGAAACTTCAAACTCTTGCATAATTAGTTAAGTAATTAAATATAAAAGGAGTATTTACAGCAGTAGTGCAGTTAGCTCAGTAAGGCAGCGGCACATATGATCAAATGGTGATTAGGTGTCACCAATACCGTGGATCCTAATTCCTTTTGTGTGAGCTGAAGCTAAATGTATTTCAATAAAGTGAACGTCATTAGATAGTGACAGATGTAAAACACTAAGTGATATGACACCAGTAGAATTTTCATGACTGATTTGACTACTTTTGTAATGTTGTGACACTTGAAGCTAACAGGTGAAGTGAGAACAGGCAAAGTGAGACACACACCCCTCACAGAATAGTTGTCATATCAATAGAGACATCTAGTGTTAGACTGAAGTAGCGCACACAGTTTGTCAGAGCAGCACTGCGCGATGCAGTACATTTACATTGCATATTACATTCACTGAGCACAGCGGTTCACAACGTGGGTGCCACAGCACAGCTGTTCCTTTCCATTTGTTACAGTGTCATCATATTATTACACAAACATGTAGCAGAAACAACATTTCTTTTACAGTACATGAACCTGGAACATCTGGACCTTGATCAGGACATCCCTAGACATCATAAACCCTACTGCTACGTCAGCCTGTTAGCCAGAGATCTAAGCTGAGCACAGAGAAACTCTCCCCTTCAGCAGATGTGAACACACACTCTACACATACTGGGCATCATTCTGCACAGCGAAGCTCTAAAAACAGTAAACAAAATACTTTTTTTTTATGTTAAGGGGTCTTTGAGTATGCAGTAAGATAGGCTGGTGATGTGGGCTTCAGTGATTTAGCAGTGACCTCATCCATCTTCAGAGAAGAGACCAAGATGAGATACCACAGGGTCCTCAGAGTGACAGCGCTGTCAACTGCACAAACTGGTCCTGATGCTGGATGGATTATGAGATATTAGGCCCCTGGGCACTGACAATTAAAAAGCCCCCACCCCTCCTACATTGGAGCAAGAGCCTGAGAGTTAAAGAGAGGAAGATGATTTCCAACAACTTAGCAATGGCCTTTTTTCTCCATTTGCAGTCATTTCTCTTTGTAACTGTTTGCATGTAGCTATTTTGTGACTTTTTGTGGTTGTTTTGGTCCTTTTTGTAGAGTAGTTGTTTTAAGTCTTTGTGGTCATTTTCTTTTCTTGGCCATTCGGTTCTTTTTCATAGTCTTTGTGTCTTTGCAGTATTTTTGTTACTTGTGTGGTTTTTATGCTTCTGTTTGTGGTCATTCTGCATTTTTTGTAGTCATTTTGTTTTTGTAGTATATTTGTGGCTCTGTGTTTAAACATTTCATGCAGTCCAGAGTAGTATTTTCCATCTACTCTTAAATGTATCTTTAATTGTCAGTTTTTGGTGCCTGCATCATTATCTTCTGTATCTGCATTTTCTTTTCCTGCTCTCGGTCCATGATGACACTGTGACACTAAAGGTATTTGGTCAGAAATGGGGATTTTTCTTTTGCTAGTGTTACTATAATGTGCAGTGTGACAGTAATAAGGATATCAATAAAGTCCCTTTAAAATCAAATGATCAGTTGTAGGCAAATAGTGTCTAGTCTATAGTCTATAGGCCAAATCAGGTCTGTCTAGATAAACGTTTGGTCCTCCAACAAAAGCCGAACTTGTCCTTTCACGGTATGTTACCAAAACCTTTGGT